CGGCCGCCCCCTTGCGCGGCCCCTCTCGCCGCGCACCCGCCGCCCGCTCCGGCTCCCGCGCAGCCCTTTGTTGCCGCGCCTGGCTCCTCGCAGCCGCGCCCGGGGCTGCAAATGGCGCCCGCCTAGGACGCCGTGCAGCCCCGGTAACCGTCGGCTCCCAGGGGCAGCTGCCCGCGGGCCGTCACGGCACACGGACCCCCGGCGCCCTCGGAGAGCGCGGAGCCCGGGGCCGTCCCTCGCAGCAGCCCGCTCCTACCCGTCTTCAGTCCGACGCCCGGTCCGACCTATCGGTGTACAGCAGAACCGCCACTCACCGGGCTGGGTCCTGCGGGCGGCCGCCGCTGAGCCGAAGGGAGCGGGCGGTGGATGCGGGGTCCCCGGTGGCTGAAGGCGACGCGCTGGTCCCGCAGCCCCGAGCCCTGGAAGCCCGAACGTGAGAGAAACAAAAGGTATTTGCTGACGTGGGCGTTGGACAGAGACGCCCGAGGGCTGGGGACACAATTAAAGGGGCAACGCACCGATTGCAGGCGCAGCCCAGCGGCTTTCCTCTGCCTGCTCGCCCTGCAGTCGGGGCTGCTCGCCTCTTCCCACACCCACATGCCGTCCGGGAGGCTCACTGCCTTACCGCAGACAATGCATGGCTATTGTTAAAGGCCCGTCTGGATAGCTTTGTATGTAGAAGGAAGGCGCCACCTGAATGGGAAATACCTGTAGTTCTGTGGCGTAGGATATATGCTATTACTCAATACAGCAGCACTTCCATAACAGGCAAGTTTTGTATTCAGACAGTGGAGATAATCCTAAACCAAAGTACTGCAAGTGGGAGTGCAATATGACAGATTGTTGGGTTTTGTTCACTTCTGTGTGGAAAAAGAAAATCAAATCAGGATGCCCGTGAGAAGACAAGACACTTTCAATCTTGTTCCTCGAGACCATTGAATAATTTTGAGAAGGAACCTCTGCAGGTCCTCAGGTATAGTCCCCTCCTCAAAGCAGGCTCAGTTAGGACGCGGTCAAAGAACAGTTCCCATTTGCACAGTAAAAAGTGTCAGGACAGAGTGTGGCAGAGAACTTCATTAGTGTTTAATTTAGTACAACAGCTAAACCAAGATACGGAAATCTTTTTCCTGCCACTCCTCCCAGTTTTTCCTTAGAAGATTTTTTGTTCTGTGTTGCTATATGCACCAAATAAGATGCCTCTCTGCATTTCAAGAGTTAAATATGATGAAAAGTTATGCTAACTCCAGTGTGGGAGGTTTTTTTAAGTTAAACAGTATAGAAAATATTTAACTAAATGGTATTATAAGCTTTTCTTAGTAGCTTATCAAATTATACCCACCACTCAACAGACATACTGACTGTTGGTACAGATTTATACCTAATGGGAAAAGTACACTGAAAGTCTGGAGGCAGGGACTGGATGATTATAAGATCCTTTTCTTCAAAACTCAACCTTTTGGCCAGAATTAGAGGAATTTTCTGCTATTTCATTCTCATACATGTTGCCTTCCAACTAATAGTAACCTTGTAATTGACTTCTGACTTTTCCTGAGATGTTCCAGAAAAATCAAGAAGCAAGTGTTCAAATGCCTGTGCTAGAATATTGAACTACTCTTACAATTCCGCTGCACTTATTCATGTAGAAACAATAAAAGGAATACAGAATTAACTATTTGGACTCTTTTTGGATTATAAGTTACATTTCTCTACCTTGGAAATGGTTAGAAGTCCCCAGTGCCAGCTTGAGCAGATCACATAGATACTGGCCTCAGCAGTCCACTGAAGTAGTTCCTTATGAATTTGTAATCTTACTAAATAAACCCTAAACACATGTGCTTATTCCAGTCTGACTGCTGCTATCTTTAGCCTCAAGGCTTCAATTAAAATATAATTTTAAATGCCTTTTTTAGGATAAATTCAACTAAACAAGTTTAGTTTAGCTGTAATCCTCACTTAACGCAAACCTCAACTCTGCTAGCCCTCAGCAGTTAAGGTTTTAGATAGATACTCAACTATATAGCATTGTCGTTATGCTGACAGATGCTAACGATAGTCAGAGGGGGATCCTGGGATCCGGGCACAGCCATTGACTCAGCTGTAGCCAGATGGCAGGTCAGGCATTTTTCAGCTAAATCAAGGTCCATATAAATAATAAATGGGGCTGAAATAGTGCTATTAGCCCCTGTGTAGGCTATCTGAAGTTCAAAGCCAAGTATTTCTGCAGACTAAGAGACCAAAATATAAGAAAGGTAGACATTGGCATTGCTAGGTAATGGGATAACCTCTGACAGTGACCAGATGCTTCAGGGTAGAAATGTAGTACATTCCATAATTTTATATACAACAGAGTTGTTTGGGGTTTTTTCTAAGTTATCACTGAAAAACTGGGAGGGATCCCAAAATACGGGAGGATGGAATGTTCTTCTGAAGAGCCATGAGTAAAGGAAGGATGATACATGTAGCAGTCAAGTGTCAGTCCTCCGCTAGATCTGTGGGTTTACAGGTATTTTCAAAACTCAAACTAAATATTTTTGCAATTTTTTTTTCATCTCAGTTATTCAGAATTGGAATAGAATATATATCAAAAAGTTGGAAAGGGAGATTTATTATGAGGTTGTTTTTTAGGGTCTGCTTTTTTTTTTTATTAATTTGGGGGGAAGAAAAAAACAACTAACAAAACCAACAGTTGAACCATTAAGATAAAGATTAAGTGTCACTTTTGGGGGATAGTAAATACAGAAATTTAGATAATTTAATGGCAAACAAAAAAAATGGGATATGATGTGAAGGAGAAAAACTAATCAAGTATCACACAAGTCATAGGTTTATGTGGCAGGTAGAATTCTGTAAGAAATACCTGAAAAGGGAGAAAGAGAAATGTTTTTTAATTGTTTCAGCCTTTGAAAGGATGGCAAGATAGTTGTCAGAAAATAAGGATAGTTAAAGGTGAGACACTAAACAGAAGATTATGAATCTGTCTTCACTCTTGACTGTGGTTTTGTGAACACGATAAACACAAGCCAAGCAAAAGGAATCATAGAATCACAGAATTGTTTAGGTTGGAAAAGACCTTTAAGATCATAAAGTCCAATGGTTAACCTAGCGCTGCCAAGTCCACCACTAAAGCATGTCCCTAAGAGGCAGGCTTTCAGTGACAAAGGACAGACAGAGGAGAGAAAAGGACAAAGACACTAGGATTGCACAGAAAGTAGAGGTATACAAGAGGAATGCCTCTTGAAGTAGACATCCCTCCAATGTTAGTCAGATGAAATGGGGAATGGAAAAGCAAATGACAAGAGAATGATGTACTGAAAAACAGTGAATAATCAAAACATGCATTAAGAAGTAGTATTTAAGAGCATTCAAAGCAACATGAATAAGATGAAAGAAATGCAAGGGGGAAAAAAAAAAAAGCAAAAACCAATTTGAGAGGAATCGCAGAACTGTTGGTCATAGGGGAGCTGTGAATGTCTCTAGTCCCATCTCCCACAGGAAGGTGGCCAGCATCAAGATCAGATCATGATCAGATCAGCCAGGGCTTTGTCTAGCCAAGTCTTGAACACCTTCAAGGACAACCATCTCTGAGGCTGCTTTCTGCACAACCCGTTCCAATGCTGCACTCAATTTAAACCTCTCAAACTGTGATTTGGATGTACAGAGGCAGGACAGAAACAGAATCTGAATGGATTGCTATTCGCAGAAGTCAATACAGTTCTATACAGCATCCTCTAGCATTTAAAGATAAAATCAGGTGTCCTACTTGTGACCCGGCAAAGTTCTAAAAGCAACACAGTCAAATCAGTTACTGCCAGGTAAATGAAATTCTGTGGGAACAACCCTATATGGTCTTTACTTTCTTCTTTGAGAAGAAAGACAATGTTACTTCTGCTAATGAGTAGTATGTGATCATAACAGAAATATGAAGACGACAGTCATCAGAGGCAATGCAAGGAGATGAAAAGAAAACAAATAGAATTACTTTCATTTAGAGAAAAACAAGCAAAATATATGACTGGCTATGTAAAATGAAGACGTAGAAAATAGAAGGCACTTAACATTTATCTTGTCTTGCAATACAAAAATAAGGGAACAACAATGAAAATTAAGGCAACAAATATAAAAATGGTAACCTTTTTAAAATACAGAACATAATTGACCTGTGGGAATCGCAGTCTTGAGCTAAAACTCCAAGCTTAATAAGATACCTTAAAAATTACTACAGATATCTAGTTATGCTACTGAGAATAACAATAAAATATAAAAGCAGTAAAAAAACTTATTTGCCAGGCAAATCAACAATTAATCTGCCTATATTTAAAAAGTAAATGTCTTCATATGGATGGATTGTTCCATTTGCCCATTTATAGCCACCTCACATCTTTTTCTGAAGCATCTGGTCCTCGGTATTCTTAGATTTATGGTATCTAATTAGATTGAGTATTGATCCAAAAATCCCTTTTCTTCTAAAAACACCCCCAAGTATACAGAAACACTTAGTAGTCTCACCTTTACAGTTGCAGTTAAGATTTTAGACCTAGAGTGACACTTTATTTTCCCCTCCCCTTAATCCATCCCCAAACACACACACAGACTAATCCCAGCCACTTTGTATTCTGGGACAGCAGGCACCAATACCTAGAATTTATTGCGCATAGTGTTTAATGTAAAGGGAAACGGAAAAATCTATTAAATTTGATTTCAGCAAGCATTTTCTCTTGAAATTTGATTGAAGTCATTCCATATTCTTTTATATATTTCTTTGTTCTATATTTGATTTAGTTAACGTTGCTCAGGAATATTTCAGCCATTTAATAATATGCATTTTAGGATTAATAAGGTTCAAGAAAATAACCAACTGTTTTCACGTCAAGTCCATTTTCTGGACTGCTGACCAAAGCGTAACATAAAATTGAGGCAAGTGTAAGTCTTGTTTGGAAAAGATGTTTTCATCTGGGTCATCAGAAAGTTTTGTAAGTTCACCCCTTCAACCCCCCTCCCCAAGTCCAAGCCAATGGATGATAATTTTTGTAGGAACAATAAAATACCACTTCTTGTCTCCTTAGAACATACAAGCAGGCTGCTTCTTGATAGCCTGGCACGTTTGAGGGGAAGGGCTCCTAATGCTTACACTGTGAACTCAGAAGGAAGTGCACGAGCTGTCATTTAAGAGACCTGTAGGCTGGCCATCTCCAGCCTGGAATGAAAATGCTGCACTCTCTGGTAATGATGATACTAATAAGGCTATATAGTTTTTACACAAATAAAAATAAAGTAGTGACTTTTTAGCTGTCCCTGGGAAAGAGATTATAGTGTATATATATGGGATTGTTCTGTAATTAATCCTGGGTTTCAGCTAAACATGCTTACAAAGTTGTAAAAAATAATAATAATAATAATAAAAAAAAAAGTTTTCTAAGCCTTTACCCATTGAGTTCAATGATCACGGGATGAAGACTGTATTAATACTCAGGTCTGTCCAAGAAAATGCAGAGTAAAAGCACCCCAGGAGCATACTTCTCTCCTGTTTACAGTGCTGGTTAAGATAAACTCACTAAGTAACAAAACAAAAATTGGCTTATTTTGTTATAGAAGTAAACTTTCTTCACCATTAGTCATCTCATCTCTTGTAGTCTAATTGTAGGTAAAATTACACAAAGAAGATGTCTAGAACTTCCAGTACATCTTGTTCTCATCAGCATATAGTACAGACTGAAAAAGGTTAAAGTGTGTTCTCCTGGTGACCGAATGACTTTGGGAATATATAAATTGATAATGACTCCATCTTAAAATTAATCAGTTTAAACTGAGTACAGGTCAATACAAACAAGAGCAGTCAATGGTTTCAGATGTAAAATCTCATCAGTTCCATTTCTAATTATATAGTATATATACTGTACAAATTGTTCTGCCACTGTTAGTGGCAAATAAAACGGGACAAAGAGAGAAAACAACAGCTAAAGTAACCTCATAAGGGTCCTTCACATTGGCATGGAGAAGCTGACACTGCCATTGGCAATGCCATGGATGCAGGGCTACCAGTCATGTCAGTCTAGCACTTTTGAGAGGTTTAAAAAAAAAAAAAAAAAAAAAAGTATTTTACTAGTGCTTATTAAAATATACCCCAGTCCAACTTCCCAATTTTCAGAATCAATAAAACATCTACTTGCATCAGTTAATGATCCATAATTGTAATAATTTTATCTCTGATGTGCTGACTAGGACTAGCATTCATGTGTTTATTTTCTTGTAAAGAAGTATGTCTTGAATGAATGATCTGCTAAAGATTCTCCTTATTCTAATAAATTTTACAAGAAAGTGCTTTTCCAGATGAATGTTCTAAAACATTTTTATATGCTTTTTCTTAATTAGCTGCCTTTTTTCCTTATCATAATATGAAGACTTCATGAAATTTCCTGGAAGATTATCTTCATTTCTGAATACTGAAGAGAGGTTTTCTTTATATTCTGGTGTGTGGGGTATTTATACTTTGTTTATCACCAGATGATATTACATATAAAACCCACATCTCTACAAGTTTAAAAAGTGGGCAATTTACAGTACTGTGTGATTTTTTTATTTTTTTTTGTATTTAGACCTCACTTCCTTGAAAGAGGTTTTGAGAAGTGACCCATTGTCTGCTATAAAAAGTTATCCATGTAGTACTTCAGTTTCCTTGTTCATCCATTATTTCATTTAAAGGTGGATTCTTTCTAATGAAGCGAAGCATGGGTATTCTGATAAGAAAACTCAGGGTGGACTCAATGGCAAGTCCATAAATACATGCAAGTCTGGACCTGTTCAAGAGAAACCAGTACATCTCTGCACGATTAACAACAGGCTGGTGGAGGGTTTGTGGTCAAGACAGTACATTCTCCCTCTTACACAGAATTCCTACTTCTTCTCTTGCAACTACCTAATATTTGGTTTTACTTCCTTTTCATCTACTTCATCCTCACTGTCATCAACTTGCTGAATGACCAAGTCGGTTGACCCATCCTCCACAATCTCCACATCGGACCTGTTGTCTTCCCCATAGTGCCACCTGGAATCCTTATCCCCATCTTGTGGAAATTCAAGGGGTGCTTCAGCCTCCAAGTCAATGCGAATACTGTCTATGCCAGCTTCGGCCAAACACTCATTACAGAGTCTGTAACGTCGTGTCCCCTCTTGGACCACTTGTCCTGTTAGCTCAGTCACATGGCGTTTACACTTTCTGCAGATAGGCTTACAAGCCTGGTGAATCTGGGAAAATTGAAAGGAATAAATTTGGTAACGTGTCCACAAAGAAGCATTTTTTAAGATGACAAAAAGTAGGGCTGGAGTAGCATCAAATGGTAGTGTTAACTCATTTTGAGAGACGGTCATCTAAAGTTAAAAATTAAACCATCGCAGGTGCTGTAATTACCCACTTAAGCTCTGTTACAGGACTTGCACAGAGCAGTATCTTTGTGAGCCATCAATTAACACAGAAATTCATCCCCTTTCATACAAATTATGTTTCAAACTGACAACAAAACCAAATTCATCTTCTATTACCTCTTCTTTACAGGAGTCAATATATCAACCAGATACACTTGTACTGTGTTTAACTGTACTGAGACAGATATACACATTAAACAAATCATGCAGTTACTAAAAATACATACTGTTCGAAAATGGCTACTTAGGTGATCTAGCCTGCTAAATCTTTTCCCACATGCCTCACAAGGGTAAGGGCGCTCTCCTGTATGACAGCGAAGGTGACGCTTTAGGTCTGCTTTTCTTTTCACCACATGAGTGCAGAATGGGCACTTGAACCTCATCCTGGGCAGATCATCTGTTAGAAAATGATGCGATTAAAAAAATTAAGTCATAACATGTCTAGTCACATAATGCTCTAGTAAAAGGCATTCTATGAGCAGAATAGCAAATCACTTTTAATAAAAAAATATTACCATAGGTCTTTTCAAGCACAAAGATCTTGTGTTTTCTTGTAAAATACACAGGAGTGCAACAAAGGAAGAGGAGTGGACCATTAGCTATATTAAAATGATCTTAAAAATATCAAAAAAGATCACAAATTTGCAAGATGATGCTAAAGATTATGTATTTTGATGGGCTAGTTTTAATAAACCGGGTACTTCAATCATTCACAATTATTGAAAAATAAGAGTTAAACTTTCCAAACTTACATTTCTGGACAATACAGATGTCTTTTTGGAAATTGTACACCTGTTCAGTAAAGTAGGTTTTCTCACGGACAGAACAGACGATTCACAGATGACTGTGCACCTACAGCATTAAAACTAATTCTTACCTTCAGCCCAGCTTCCCATGACACCTAGAATCGAGGGCATGCTCGCGTACTGCTCGTCTGCTTTTGAAGACTTCGATTTACTAGAAGAACGGGGTGATTCATGCTCCTGCTGTGACACAGCCAAGCTCCTCGGCATCACGTCAGACCCTTGGCCGTACTGGTATCCCACGTGAGGGGATTCAACTTCTGTTTCAATCTGAACTTGCTCCTCAGACTGAGCAATATGGCCAGCGGGCTCGGCAGCCCTGTCCTCCAGTTTGCTTGATTTATAGTGAGGAATGTCAGAAGGTTGCTGCAGTCCCAGGTGCCGGGATTTCTTTATGGAATCCTGTCGTTGCTCGTGTTTGGACAGCTGCTGCTGGGCATTTCTTTGAGAAGTCGGATAGTAGCTGAAATTGCTCCAAGCATTTCCACCCATCATACATGTCCCTTGCTCCGGACTTAAGTGCGAATGCGGGGGGCTGCTTTCTCCCCTCCAGCCTGCGCTGTACAAGCAGGATCGGTCCACGCCGTTTGAATTTACATCTTTGTCTGACAGACTGAAGTAGCGATCCTTCTCCTTCTCACTGATGTCCAGCGATGACTTAATGAATGTTTTACACACACTGATAACATCGGTCATCTGCAGATAGCTAGCGGCTGACATGACTTCGATGACGTTCTGACCAGTGAGAGACAGTTTGCCCGAATACACAAAATCTAGAATAACTGTAAATGTGTCAGGAGAAAATGCCTGGAAAGTAGCTGTTGTCGGCTGACTCGCCTCCTTCGAGCTCTGCGAAAGGAGCATTTTGAAATAGCCGCTGCTGGCAAACAGCACATTGCGATGTGCCTTAAAGACCTTGCCCTCCACCAGGATATTGCAGTCACAGAATAAGTCTTGCCTGCGCTGCTCATTTAGTTGCTGCAAGAGGTGAAACTGGTGAGAAGAAATCTCCATTCCAGAAAAGATGAAATGAAGCGTCGCTTTAAAAAATAAAGAAAATAACCTGAGTCTCGACTTCAGCGCCGTGCAACGCAGCCAAAGATGTCAGACCCAATTTTACAGACATCTTTACAAATAATCTCATGTATTTAAATCTATAAATACATTTAAATTGCAATATGCGCAACCATACATTCTTTTTCCAAGAATTAAAGAGCGACGAAAAAGCCAAATCAGTACACGTTATCTAGCAGAGACGTGTGCGTGCTACACCTAGAGCATCTCCTTCCGAAGGATGCAGGACACAGAAGGCAGCTGCACACCCTTCAGGCGCTCTCCAGCGAGACGACGAGCGCTCCAGCAGCTGCGGTGGAGGACCGCGTCCGCGCCCTGAGCCGACGTTACCGCATCGCCCCGGCTCCCGCCGGGCTCCAAGCCTCGCCGCCGAAGCGACCAGAAATGGGACCCGGCGGCCGAGCCCCGGCGGCCTCAGCCCTCCTCCCGCGGCATTGGCGGAGGCCGCCGTCACTCACCCGCAACGCCCGGCCGAATTGGTCGCTCGGCCACCGGGAGCCCGGGACGCCCGACGGCGCCGGACCCGCCCGCCAAAGCGCGGAGGCGCCTCCCGGCTTCGCGGGCTGCCGCGGCCGCCCCCGC